GCGACAGCAGCCATACTGCGCCAGAACGCTCACCACACTCCAGCTATCAGTGGGGAGGAGAGCAGAGTAATGAAGCCAATTCATAAATGAGGATTATTAGGAGGCCATTGATTGGTAAGGGCCGATGGGAAATTTGGCCAGGATGCCGGGTTACACCCCTACACTTTTCGAGACACACCCTGGGATTTTTAATGACCACAGAGAGTCAGGACCTCGGTTTTACGTCTCATCCGAAGGACGGCACCTGTTTACAGTATAGTGTCCCCATCACTATACTGGGGCATTAGGACCCAAATGGACCGCAGGGTGAGCGCCCCCTTCTGGCCCCACTAACATCTCTTCCAGCAGCAACCTAAGTTTTTCCCAGGAGGTCTCCGATCCAGGTACTGACCAGGCTCACACCTGCTTAGCTTCAGTGGGTTACCAGTTGTGAGTTGCAGGGTGACTTCTGGCTATAAAGCTGAATTATGTAATAATGTATAGCGCAGACAGGCTCCAGCAAGTCTCCAGGCTAGTTTCTTCCCAAAACCACAGATCAAAGTCACTATCCATCACCCAAAGGAAGATCCACCAATTTGGAATCTGTAGGGTGAGTACTAGAACCAAATCTGATAGCATCTCAGCCAGTCACCACTTGAGATGTCGTCCCATATTAACTGAATCCCAGTTTTCCACTGTATTCTAATCTCTCCAACCGAACTGGCTATCAGGCTTTTCCAACCACCTGACTGCAAGCAGTCTAAGTCAGGACTTAAACATTTCTCCAAGAAGCCATGTTGAGAGAGTGAGTAAAGCGTAGATAATCTTCCTCAAGTCAGCAAGATGTTACTTTGGCAGACCCTGAGACCAACGTAAGCTGCTAGTCAACACACGGAAAGAACTCTTTCTCTCTCTCAAACCCATCCCAGCTTCATTTACCAATGTGAAGTTTAAACTCATCAAGGACACTTGGGCGGATCTTTGAGTATAAATTTTCATTTTTCATGATTATTCACATTATAATTCTCAGGAACTTATTATTACAACTGCATTTGCTGTTTAGTAAATGCATATTTACTTGTTTCTGAGAATATAATTGTGATTTAGACTGATAGAACTTACAATATAGATTGTCAACACATTATAGTAAATAGTTATATAAATAAATTGTATATTGTATATTGTTAATTTAGAATCCGTGTTTGAAACTATGTATTATTATGTTTGATTGGTGTCTATAAGTCAAGTACTCTCACAATCTACTGTTACAAGTTCTGATTGTTACTGCAAATTAAAACCCCCAATCTCCTACACCACTCTTAACATTTAGGGAATTTGATGTCTTTCACAAAACAAACCAGAAATACCTTGACAGTTACAGGAAAGTAACTCCAAGCTAAATGCAAAAAATTTGTAAGATGAACTTGGCATACTTCCATTAAATATATTGCATGGCAAACAGTAAGATGTGAATATGAAACTGAATAATTTTACCACGCCATTTTTAAAGCTGGTGTTCGCAATAAAAAGCAGGAGCACTGAATTCAGTTCCTCCTTCAGTTCTTTTTAAGAAAGTTACTTGTGTCCATATAATTGCTTCATTTAATTCTTTAGAACACATTTTAAAAATGCTTTCAGTTTATATTTCTTATTTTGTATCATTTTAATCTGAGTGTTTTTTTTTTTCTTTTTTGGAGTGAGAAAGCAGTAGCACAAATATAATCTAGATAAAATGGAAATCTGATCTTGAAGAAGCCACTTATAAATGAAGACTTGGGTAAATATGTTTGTGTTTCATTTTAATCTTCTAGACATTGTTTGGTAGCAATATAAAAAGCAAACAGAATGATAGGATACATAGTTGAAAGCATAGCATTTGAATCAAGGATAAATGTGGCATAGCTATGAAATGTGTTGGAATGATCCGCTTTAGAATACCAATGATCAACACAATACATAAAACAAATTGCTGCTCTGGAATCAGTCCAGAGAATGACAGCCAGGTACATTCATTTGATCAAAATAATATCCTACTGAAGGCTGAAGGAAATGAACGTTTTTAGTATTGCATAGAGAAGATTATGAGGAGACTTGTTTCAGGTATTTAAAATCCACGAAGAGGGAACAGCTTTCTTACACAAAGAGTTGTGGGAGTCTGGAGCAAGTTACCTGGCTATGCTGTTCATAACTTGAATGAATTCTTCAAACCTAATAGCACCTAAATAGCCAATAAGCTGCAATACACCTCCTCTCTCTTGCAAACTTTCTAATGTTCCTGTGTTGTTCCAAGTTGACAGACGTTAGTGGTGTCAGTAGATTCCTTTATTAATTGTTATTAATAGTCTGGGTAAACAATTATTCAACTATTATAGAAGAAGGAGTACTGCTTCAGCTTATAGAAGCACTCAAAATTAATAAATAACCAGGACCCAATGGTATCTTACCAATTGTACTCAAGGAAATCAAGACTATCCCAAAAGTATTAGGCACAAAGCAGATACTCCCTGGACAGAACGCCAATACATTGAAGGACACATGCAGACACAAACAATGAATTACAGTATTGCCAAAGCAGATACAGTTAACACAACATTTACAATACTAACACATCATAGGCAGTTCACCTTTTTCATAAAAAAATTAAAATATTATGGAGATACAGGCTCACTTTTCCTCAGGCTGTGATGGGAAATCACGTACAGTATGTGCTGCCAGCTCATTCCCAATGTAGGATTGGAAGCTGTTTTGGGAATTCTGGGATTGGGTTTGCTATTTTAAGAAAGAAAGAATCTCAGGGTATTTCTCACACTGCTGCGGAAAGTACATTTCTGTCTCTGATTCTCCCTCCTAGCAGTAGGGACACTTCCTGTCCTCTCTGGGCAGCCAGGTCTGTCTATGTCACCCAGTTTTTGTGGCCAGATTGTGGTCACTGAGCCTGTAGCATTCTCGTTTATGTTGTATTTGTGTGCGTGTCCCAGTATGCAAGATGGTGTTGTGTGATCTGTGCTATGATTTGGTTGACTCTGATTTGGGATGTTCTAGCAGTGCTGTCCTGAGGTTGCCTGGTGTCTGTGTGGCTAGGGGGAGTGAACTTCAGGGACTCTTCAGGCTCAGGGGTTCTTCTTCTTTGGGTTCAGCTCTTGGCTTAGCATGTCCTTGTTGTGGTAGGAGTTTTTAGATGTGGTCAATACTTTATTGCTCTTTTCTCTATGTTGATCAGCAGTGGGTATCTGTAGGGTGTTAATCACATGTTTTATAATCCTGGTCACATTGGGGCAGAGTGGTGGCGGCACTGTGGCTAAGGATTTATACTTGTGGTTGGAAGGTTGCTGGTTCAAATCCTACAGCCAGCAGAGGCATCATACTCTTTTGGGCCCCTGAGCAAAGACCCTGCACTCTGCAGTCTGACCCCCAGCTTCTCTCCCTGTCTGTGTGTCTCACAGCAAGCTGGGGTATGTGAAAATACAAATTCCTAATGCAAGAAATTGTTTACTGTTAAATTTGTTGATATTTCATTGATGATGGAATTATATGTCATTCATAATTTTTCTGGACTTTCAAAGAACACAATCTAAGCAATCAAAGACTTATGTGCAAGTCTTTTTCTCTCAGGCATAAATCCAAGAGGGCAGAAAATACACTTCAAACATGTCCTCAAGGCCAACATGGAAAACTGCAAGATTTATACACCGACTCAAGAGAGACTATTTCCCAGGAGCACTTCATATGAAAGGATTTCAGCACTTGCAACCCACATTACATTAACAGGAGATGGAAAAACGAGAATAATGGACCAGATTATCAACCCAGGACCATTCCTTCTTCCGGGACACATATGCCTCTTTGTTTATCCCGCATTGGTCTCATCAGTCCAAAGATAAGAAAATCACCCTTGACTGAAAGCACTGCCAAGAGAATCTTTTGTCTTCATGAAGCCTATTAAACTTAATGGTGGAAAAAAGATTGTGTAAGTATGTCTTGGCCTATATCATAATCTTGTTTTAACCTCTTTTTGTGACTGTCCATCTTCTCTATCTTCATTAGATAACTTGTCTTTGTGTACACATTCCGAAGCCACTTCACTAGTTAACCACTCCATAACAATTGGACAGTTTCTCCAACTTCTGACAGGTACTGTAGATCTCTTCTGAGATAAAGCTGGCTGCAGAGTTAAGAGAGAGTGAAAAGTTAGAGATGCACTGTTATTGTGTTCCAAATACTCTAAGATAAGGGATAAGTACTGCATTTCCCCAAACCATTAGATAATGCAGTTTCTAAAATTCCCTGACCCTGCCAAACTACTGATACCACTAGCAGAAGGATTTGTATGCTTTTACCACAGCTGAGACAAAGCCCCTGTTAAAATAGAGAAACTCTGTGTCCTGTACAGAACTGTGAGAAGTCACTTTAACCAGTAGGTCAATGAGAAAATAGTTTAATTTACAATGACATCCATGTCAGTAGCAGGTTGTTTTCACCAGAACAAGGTTTAACCGAAGTACCTTGTTAAACGTAATAGCAGTGTCCCACTCATGTACACATGGGTTTTCTATTTAAGTCTTTACGATGTATAGCTTCAACAACTACTGCCCTGCTACTGCTACCCTTATATTGGCATTTAATACCTGTGACTATTTCTTTTTCCCTAACAAATTTAAAGTCAATACTGTGTGTGACAAAATAGAGTCCATGCTAAAAAAGGAAAAGACATTTCATTAAACTGTTTTTAATTTCTTGTAGACAACTAATCTAAGTAAGCATGAATATGTTATAATGAAGTTTCCTATTAATGTGAAGCTCCAAAAACAGACCTATGAAAGCATTTGGATTATATTTGCTTATATCCCAACATGTATTATACCTCTGGCAACTACAGAATGAATACAATTAGAGATATTTATTATTCTGTCAACAGTCTATGTATATATAACAAGTAAATGCAACAGAATCCCAAATATTTTGATACATGCAAAACATCACAGCAATTGATAGTAATTATGTATTTTTTAATATGCAAGTCAATTACAGATGGTTAATTGGAACATTTTAAAAGGGAGTGAACGAGATGCTGACTCTTAAGTATCTAAGTAATACACTCCAGTCAGACTACCCAGTTCCTCACACAGTCACTGAATAAGAGCATATGAAGGCTCTTCTCATGCCACAGTCCACCACACTCCACAGCTCCACATCTGCAGAAAAAGAGGAAAGGGGAAATACTCATCAGCAACAGCTCTTCTTTAGCTATAGTGAAATAACAGTTTCATCTTTACCCCCATAGTGCTGAAGAAATGTGGACTTGATCAAACGAATACACAGTTCTCTAAAGCTGGAGTCCCCAATTCTACTCCTGGAGGACCTAGTAGTTTTTATTCCATTAACCAGCAACCAGGGGAAACCCACGTGAACACAGGGAGAACATACAAATAGCATATAGTACCCCAGGTGAACTCAGGGCTGCAGCCCTATGAGGCTACAATGCTACCCACTGTTCCACCATTCCAGCTGAACTTAATTACCTAACTGAAGCCTTAATTGAACTAACAAATATATATGCACAGAATATATCTCATTGTATGTGCTATATAGTTGTATAAATTAACAAGCCAGTAAAAACCCAGCCATTGTAGTGTACACAGTATAGTAACAATAGCTCTGGATGCTTGCTTAACTCACCTCGGTCATCAGCTAACACCAGAGAGACTTACCCATCTTAAACATCTCCAGGCAGTTCTCTTTGCCCTGGATGTGAGGCTGTCCAGGAAGCCAGGCAGTGTAGTCCCAGGCAGAATCATCTGTCCACACAAATTGGCCATTCTAAGGAGAAACAGAAACGAGAATGAGGAGCACAGGGGAAACAACATTCTGGACAGCTGGGAATCTCATTTGAGTGCCTCAGGTAACTAGTTTCCCCCATTATGTACCAGCAGACTGTTCTAATTGAATAATGGCTGTCATGTGTCACATGAAGATGATTCAGTGGTGGATGAAGTGGGTCCTCTCTTACAAGAACTACGAGATTGCTTGCAATGCAAAAAAATGCATGCAATGCATGAATTGTTTTTAAGATGACTAAGAATATTGTCAAACCATTTTAAAACAACTCTGGTCTGGTTTTTGTTAATTGATCCCAATTATCTAATGCAAATCTGTATTTTTGATTTTCATCTGCAAGTGAGGACACACTAAACAGATTCAAGAAACCTGCCATTTCCATCTGAAACCTGTTGTATTCTTTGACTAAATTTTAGTGCTGCTATTAAACTGCTGAGCAGCAGATGGGGTAGTTGCACTGACACATGATAACTGCAGATGTTTATAGCCCTTGTACAGAGTTAAAGTATGTGCCTGTTCATAATAGGGGTGAACACTACTGAAGATTCTGTTTGAAGTGAGCAAAAAATAACTTTTTTAAAAAGTACACCATGACCAAAATGTTAACCTGTGCCAATTAAAAATTATATATGTAACGGTTTTATACAGTATATCAGTTATAATGCAGACTTGAGTTGAATAGTGATTATTCTTTAATCTTTACTTTCCTGTATTGGACTATACTGATCCCCTCTGCTACTGTGTAAATTCATCCATGATAAACTTCAGCACATGAGTTTTATGATTCACCAATGAATATATTGTACTTTGGAGCGGACAGTTTGAAATAAGAAAGTACAGAAATGGTTAGGGCTCTGGACTCCACCGCAGAAGGCCATGAGTTCAAATCCTCTGTATGACAGTTTTACTTTTGATACTCTCCCCAGGTCACCACTGTAAAACCATTTATTTTTCTTAATTGACATACTTGGTTGGATCCAATTGCTGTAGTTTCAATAAAACAATGGAAACTCATTTAAGTTATCTTGAGAAGAGCTAATGTCTGAGGATGCTATAAAGAGGGTCAGAGAGCTTGAGGGTACTGTGAAAAGTGTCTGCCTCCTGTACAGAGCTGAAAGGAATTACTTACATTTAGATGATTGAAATTAAAGGCTCCCAGCCAGGTGAGTGCTGGGCCTCCATTGGTGTTGATAACCAAAGAGATGAGGTGGGAGTGCAGAGCTGGGGAAGTCACCGAGGCCAGATGTCCTCCTGGGAAGAGCTCCCTGCAGGTGGACTGGAGAAGCAGACTGATTCTCAGGACAGACTAGGAACTACTGGCAGGCATGCAGGTTCACAGGATAAACATACAGACATTCAAAGATTCACAGATTCTCAAGACAGAAACACAAACTCTCAGTACAGAGATGCAGGCTCTTGAGGTAAACATATAGACAATTAAACTATTAGGATAGACTCACAGATTCAGAGGACTGACATAATCAGGATAGACACACAACTTCACAGCACTGACAGACTCACAGGATAGACCCACAGATTCATAAGACAGAAACACAAACTCTCAGGATAGACATGCACACTCTCAACATAAACATATAGACAATCAAACTTTTAGATTCAGGCTGATGACAGACTCTCTGGACAGAGACAGAACTGATATGCTATTTTAATTTTTCCTATAGGCTTGATACTGTAGTTGTATGAATGAAAATGCCTATGTCCTGTAATATAAAACACTTGATACATACAATACACTTTTTTAATAAAATAGAAACAAACATATTTTATCAGGGAGCTTCTTACGAGTGCTTTGCTTAAAAACACAGTGCTGATTTGTTTTTGGACTCTTACTCACTCCTAATATTGGATTTAGTTTGCTGTATTGATACCTGTTTCAATATGCAGCAGTGGAGTCTATGTTTAAGTTGTAAATCCTTTAGGGAAAAATAATTTTCCTTTAACAATCTACCTGGATCAATGAGACAGTAGAACAATGCCAAACCAACATATCTGAAACCATCAGTTTTATACCTCACTTAAACTTTTATTTTGGGAATTAATAATGATGAGATTTAGCTTGAACACTAATATTATGTAAAATATGAAAATATAAGGGTAGGTATTGACACATGTATCCCTGTCCCTGAGTGTCCCTGTGTGTTAAGAGCTGTGTTAAGAACTCAGTCAGCAAAGTGTTTATTTAACCTGACTGAACAACTGAGCAGACTATCATTAACAGTGGTAACCTATCCTAGTCATGGGAATCAGGCCAGTTCTACAAGGAGCTTAGGTGGTAAAAGTTAGTTTTCTAAAAAAATATAGAATTAACAATTATTTAGTATTATGTACCTATTCAATGAGGAATTTACATCTGTTTTCACTTTTTAACTTCTGTACCACAGAGAGAGATCTGACAGCTCCCATCTAGCCAATTAGTTATTTATTTCTAGCTTGAAATGTCCTCCAGCACTCTACAGGCAGTTCAGCCCTGAAAGGAAGAATGACTGCAGTTCAGACAGAAACTATGAAATAAGGGGTAACTGTTTCTCTAGGAGCCAGGAGATCCCTGGCCAAATCATCTCCATGTCCTTGGAGGGACTAAGCAGATTTGAAAAGAATCGCTTGAGGAAGGCAGTCACAGATACTGATACGATCTAGACTCATCCTGATTTCAACTCTTAACAGGTAAGAAAAAAAAAATATCTAGGTAAGGAGAGCAAACACTCAGCCCTGGAGGACAAGAATGTTTTTCTTTTCACTTCACATGTTAATTATCATTATCAAAGAAAAACAACTGGACCTTCTGTGCTTAACCGAAACATGGCACAAACAAAACGATGGACTCCTGTTCAACCAACTAGTT